AGCTCCCAAATACATGAAGGTTAAAGAACATCCTACTAAAGAATAAATGGGTCAATGAGGAAATTAAAGAAGAAATTTTTAGAATATATTTGGAAGCAAATTAAAATGAAAACATGACAGTCCAAACCCTTGGGGATGCAGCAAAAGCAGTCCTAAGAGGAAAATATATTGCAATCCAGGCCTATCTCAAGAAGCAAAAAAGGCCTCAAATATAGAACTTAACCTCACACCTAAAGAAACTAGAAAGACAGCAGCAAAGAAAGCCCAAAGCCAGCAGCGGAAGAGAAATAATAAAGATTAGAGCAGAAATAAACAATAGAGAATTGTCTCCGCCCCCCCCCAAAGAAACCCACAGTAGAACAGATCAATGAATCTAAGAGCTAGTTTTTCAAAGAATAAATAAACAAAATTAACAAACTCTTTAGCAGACTTTTCAAAAAGAAAAAAAAAAAGAATACCAAAAAGATAAAATCATGAATGAAAGAGAAGAGATTATAACCAATACCACAGAAATACAAACAACATTAGAGAATATTTTGAAAAATTATATGCCAACAAACTGGACAATCTGGAAGAAACGGACAAATTCCTAGACACCCACACACTACCAGAACTCAAAAGGGCAAAATAGAAAGTTTGAACAGACCCGTAACTAGTGAAGAAATTGAATTGGTTATCAAAAATCCCCCAACAAATAAGAGTCCTAGGCCAGATAGCTTCACAAGGGAATTCTACCAGATGTTTAAAGCAGAGTTAATACCTATCCTTCTCAAGATGTTCCATGAAATAGAAATGGAAGGAAAGCTTCCAGACTCATTCTATGAAGCCAGCATTACCTTGATTCCCAAACCAGACAAAGACCTCACTAAAAAGGAGAATTACAGGCCAATATCCCTGAGGAACACAGGTGCAAAAATTCTCAATAAAATACCAAACAACTTGAATTCAACAATATATTAAAATAATTATTCACCATGATCAAGTGGGATTCATTCCTGAGCTGCAGGGCTGGCTTAATATTCACAAATCAATCACTGTGATACATCACATTAGTAGAAGAAAGAACAAAAACCATACGATCCTGTCAATAGATGCAGAAAACAGCATTTCACAAAATACAGCAACCTTTTCTAATAAAACCCCCCATGAAAGTCGGGATAGAAGAATATCTTAACATCATAAAAGCCATATACTAAAGGTCCACAGGTAATACAATTCTAATGGGGAAAAACTGACAGCTTTCCCCCTGATATCAAAAACAGGACAGGGATATCTCCTCTTACCACTGTTCTTTAACATACTGTTGGATATTCTAACCTTAGCAATCAAAAAGCTAAATAAAATAAAAGGAATCCACACTGGCAAAAAAAAAAAAAAGAATTCAAAATTCCACTTTTTGCAGATGGCATGATACTCTATATGAAAAACCCGAAAGACTCCACCAAAAAACCTGCAAAAGTTGTGGGATACAAAAATCAATGTACAGAAATCGGTTGCATTTCTATATACCAATAATTAAACAACAGAAAGAGATATCAAGGAATTAATCCCATTTACAGTTGCCGCACGAACCATAAAATACCTAGGAATAAATCTAACCAAAAGGTTAAAGATCTGTATGCTAAAAACTAGAGAAAGCTCATGAAAGAAATTGTAGAAGACACACAAAAAATGGGAAAATAAAAGCATTCCATGCTCATGGATTGGAAGAACAAATATTGTTAAAATGTCAATCCTACCCAAAACAATCTATAAATTCAATCCTAATCAAACTAGCACCAGCATTGTTCGCAGAGCTAGAACAAACAATCCTAAAATTTGTATGTTACCACAAAAGACCCCAAATAGCCAAAGTAATGTTGAAAAAGAAAACCAAAGCTGAGACATCACAATCCCGTGACAAACATACAACATTTTTTGGCTGTTTTGTAAATGTATATAAATGTTTTATAAATGTACACAATGCTACTTAACATTGTTTCAAAGATATAACCAAGTTGCTCTCTGTAAAGCAACTTTATTATTTCTGACTGAGGTACTCATAGGCAAATATGATGATGGTGATGATGGTGATGATTATATTTGAGCCTTGCATTTTTTTTTAAATTTATTTCTAGGAGAGAGAGAAACAGCGTGAGCAGGGGAGGGTCAGAGAAAGAGGGAGACACAGACTCTGAAACAGGCTCCAGGCTCTGAGCTGGCAGTCAGCACAGAGCCCGACGCGGGGCTCGAACCCACGAACCGCAAGATCATGACCTAAGCGAAAGTCGGACGCTTAACCGACTAAGCCACCCAGGCGCCCCGAGCCTTGCATTTTTTGATGCCGGATCTAACTCAGTAAGCCTAGGATTCCCTAGTGTTTAACACCAGCATGTTTGAGGGTGTATAATTAGAACTCTTAGCATTTCAGGGGCGCCTGGGTGGCTTAGTCAGTTAAGCGTCCGACTTTCGCTTAGGTCATGATCTCGCGGTTCGTGGGTTCGAGCCCCGCTTCGGGCTCTGTGCTGACTGCCAGCTCAGAGCCTGGAGCCTTTTTTTTAGTCTGTTTCTCCCTCTCTCTCTGACCCTCCCCTGCTCACGCCGTCTCTCTCTCTCTCTCTCCTAGAAATAAATAAAACATTAAAAAAAAATAAAAAAAAAGAACTCTTAGCATTTCAAGAAAAATTATATGGAGTAAAACTGTCTTTATTGTTTCATTAGGGATAGTTAACAGCCTCAAGGTTTATTGGATGATTTTAAGGGTAAACATTTATAAACACGAACTGATTTTTGCTGGATCAAATCTAAACATTAAGTATTAGGTAGATTATATTAAGTTCATATTGTTTGCTAGGTACTGAGCTAAGTATTTTACAGGTATCATTTCAGTTACTCTTCACAACAACCCTATGAAGTATTTACTCTTATCCTCATTTGGCTTTTGTGGATACTAAAGCCCCAAGACTTGAACTAAATGTCCAGAGTCAACAGTTATGTGGTTGTGATTTGAATCTGAGTCATCTACCTGCAAAGACTTTACTCCTAACTACAAAACTGTGCTTCCTTCCTGTGAAAGAAGATTTTACAATCTTTTTGCTTTATTTTTAAAAAATAGTTTATTGTCAAGTTGGTTTCCATAAACACCCAGTGTTCATCCCCACAAGTGCCCTCCTCCATGCCCATCACAGAACAAACTGAGGACTGATGGGCATGGGGAGGAGGGGAATACAATCTCTTTGCTTTAAAACTGAGGACAATTTCTTGTCAATTGGGACGGTTGAGACCAGTCATTGGATGTACAGGGCTAGTGGGCAAGAATCTCCAGAGGGAGAGGATATGAAGTTTAAAAATTGTTCCCAGGTGTATTCGTTATGCCTCACTCTCTCCCCTGAAGTGAGAAACCCTGCCTTAGGACATCCCACCTAGATTATAGAACGTCAGCATGATGCCTTCAAGAAAGTAGAGCTTCTTTAACTGAATGTTGTCTGTTGGATGCCTATAACTTAACTCTGCCTGATACTTTTAAATCAAGGATCCTCAAAGGCAAACAATTCTTTTTTTTTTTTTTTTTTTTTTACAAATAATTTATTGTCAAATTAGTTTCTACATAACACTCAGTGCTCATCCCCAAAGTGCCCTCCTCCATGCCCATCCCCCCCTCCCCCCCACATCCATCAGTCCTCAGTTTTTGTCAGCATTCAAGAGTCTCTCATGGTTTGCCTCTCTCCCTTTCCCCCACCATTTCCGCCCTTCTTCTCCCCCTTGGTCCTCCGTCAAGTTCCTCCTAATCCTCCTATACGTGCAAACATATGGTATTTGTCCTTCTCAAAGGCAAACAATTCTTTATCACACTGTGGGGCTGGTACCTGCCATGAATTATGTAGAGTCAAGGTTTTATTAGTTGATTTTCCCTTCACTTTTCATTTTGCTTGCCTTCTACAGGAAAGATAATACCATTTATATTTTCCCCTGAACCAGTTTATAAAGGTTTCTTGGCTACAAATTATGTGTCTCTAAGTCAAATAGGTGTCTTGAATTATGTGCTCTTTCAGTTTTCTCTTCTCAGTTTGCACATTTGTTCCATAAATATTTATTGAGCACCTAACCCACAGTCTAATGGAGGAGACAGGTAGCTGTCCTGGAATTTTGCTACATTAGGATAAAAGGTACATGGAGGAAGCCCAGGTGCTATTAGAACACATAGGAGGGTCAGCATAACGGTCAGGGAAGGCTGACCAAACAGCACGTTCCTCTCTTTCTTGTATGTAGTTGTGAATGAATAGCCCCTTTCCCCCTTTTCCTGTATTTTCACAGCGTCCCTGTGGGCCTACATAGGTAAAGTGAAGGGTTGGACTGTACATTCTTTGCCATCAGTACAGCTAAATGGAAGATGCAGAATGAGAAGAAAGTGGCCAAAGTGACATCTGATCTTGGCTAGCTTATTTTGTGGTTAAGGGTTTTAAGACCAGGGGACTAATAATTTAAAGTTCAGATTGTGTTTTTAAAAAATGGTTCTATAATTGCCACAAGGTCCTTTAGTCATGAATTAATGTGTCATAGCTCATGCTCAAGCACTGCATACACATCCTGCATGTGAATTATTGCATAATGTATTCATGCCCTTTTATGTCCTACACCTTAATTAGTACATGAAGCTATATGAGTTAGCTGAACCCAGTGGGATTACATACATGTGGTGTGTAAATGTGGAGAATGTTGGAAGAAATTTTACCCTTTTTCTGTGGAGAAAGAGGGGTTAATTTTTCTTTAATGTCTTTTGATGTCAGCTTCTATGATAGTTGGGCTGCAAAAAGTGATATGGGACTTCTGAGCTTTGGCTGTTTGATTAACAGCACTGTTCAGTAAATATTTATTGTTTATTTAGGCATTATGGAGGGATTGCATAAACCGGATGAAATGGGAAGCGGCATATTTGAAACCTGAGCAACAAAAGAACTCGGCAGCTCCAACCCAACTTGCCATAACTGAGCCTCCTAGACTTCTCTTCAATTCCAGTTAGAATGCTGTGCCAGTCTCTTCGCAGATTTGGTCTAAAGCTGGTACGCAGACATACGCTGGAGGAAGAAGAGACCAAGTTGGAATCTGTCAGAAGTCTGAGCACTCTGGATTTAGTGGTTCTGGGTGTGGACCGCATAATTGGTGCAGGAGTGTATGTCCTGGCTGGCGAGGTGGTCAGCAATCAAGCAGGACCATCCATCGCAACCTGCTTCTTGGTGGCTGGAATAGTTTCTATGTTGGCTGGGCTGTGCTATGCAGAGTTTAGTGCTCGGGTTCCCTGTTCCGGATCTGCATATCTCTACACCTTTATCACTGTAGGTGAATTCTGGGCTTTCATCACTGGCTGGAACCTCATACTCTCCTGTGTTGCTTATGTAGTCACTGTGATTCAGGCGTGGACCTTAACTTTTGACAACCTGTTTGGGAAGCAGATCTCTCAGACCCTGCATGAGAGTGTCTCACAGCATGTTTCTCAAGTCTTTGGAGACAAGCTAGACTTCTTTTCTGTGGTACTTCTGTGGTGTCTCATAGAAATTCAAGATCTGAGATCTCGTGGGTTCTTCGTGGTTAGCAAAGTAATTACATTAATGAAATTTTTGTTCCTCAGTTTTGTCATCATCTCTGGCTTCATTAAGGGGGACCTGCACAACTGGACACTAACAGAAGAGGACTATGTAAAGGCTGGACTGAATTACACGTCTACATTGGGCCCTCTGGGCTCTGGAGGATTTGTGCCTTTTGGCTTCAAGGGGATTCTCCGTGGTTCAGCTACCTGTTTCTATGCATTTATAGGTTTCACCATTATTGTTACCAGAATCGAAGAAACCCAGAATCCCCAGAGTTCCATCCCCAGGGGCATTGTGATTTCACTGTTCTTCTGCTTTTTGATGTACTTTGGTGTCTCTGTGGGACTTACACTTATGGTGCCTTACTACAAATTTCAACCTGGGAACACCCTGCCTGAAGCATTTCTCCATATTGGGTGGACCCCTGCCTACCATGTTGTAGCTTTTGGATTTCTCTGTAGTTTTGCTGGCATTTTCCGGAATTTTATATCCCCCACACGTTGGGTAATATACAGGATGGCACAGGATGGCCTCCTCTTCCCTGTCCTTGTCAAGATATATACCGGCACATACACCTCCATTGTGGCTGATATGATCTTTGGCATTACTGCAGCAATCATGGTATTTTTCTTTGGACTTACCGATCTTATGGACCTCAGTTCAATTGGAACCCTGATATCTTATTCCCTGGTAGCTTTTTGTGTTCTCATTGTCAGGTATCAGCCTGAGAGGAAGAATGAGGGAAATGAAGCAGAAGTGCAGCAGCAGGATATACCTACACCAGAGACACTGACTCTACAGGGACTACTTTTTCCAGGAAGCCCCACCCCTACTCCACTTTCTGGACGAGTTGTCTATGTTTGCTCTTCACTGCTTGCTTTGCTGATCATTCTTCTCTGCCTGGTGCTGGCCCAGTGGCCAGATCTGTTTTCTGGGGACCCAGTGTGGATTTCCGTGGTTGTGGTGCTCCTGGTGCTCATCACTGGGCTCACTGGGGTCATCTGGAGACAGCCACAGAGCTCCAGGCCCCTTCCCTTTAAGGTCCCTGCTCTGCCTCTCCTCCCACTACTGAGCATCTTTGTGAATGTTTGCCTTATGATGCAGATGACAGCTGCCACCTGGGCCCGATTTGGTGTCTGGATGTTGATTGGGTTTGCTATCTACTTCGCCTATGGGATCCAGCGAAGTTTTTACCCCACTTAAGTCAGGCTAAAACTTTAGACATAGAATTCAGCAGTGCCAGTACATATTGGTTTTGACATCACCACATCTGAATGTGGTCTGGTATTTATGGTGGAGTGAAGGATGTGTCTTGCTCTTTCTCCTTTTTTTTTTTTTTTTTTACTTGAATACTTTTCTGTTGTGTGAAGAGCTTCTTACTGGCTTAAAAAAATTATTATTAAGGCGGCACCTGGATGGCTCAGTTGGTTAAACCAGTTTCTGACTCTTGATTTCAGCTCAGGTCATGATCTCATGTCATGATCTCACCATCTCTGAAATAAAGCCCTGCTTGGGCTCTGAGCTGACAGTGTGGAACTTTCTTGGGATTCTCTCTCTCTCTCTCTCTGCCCCTTCACTGCTTGTGCTATCTCTCTTTCTCAAAATAAATCAATAAACTTTTAAAAAGTAATAAAAATAAAAAGTTATTATTAAAAGAAACTTGAAAAAGTGTTTTCCTTTTCACTGGTTAAATATCCAGTATTGAGGGGCTGCTGAGCACCTGGCTGGCTCAGTCAGTACAACATGAGGCTCTTGATCTCAGGGTGGTATGTTTGAGCCCCATATTGGTTCTAGAGCTTATTTAAGAAAATACATAGTAGAGGAATTACTGGATCACATGGTAGTTCTATCTTTTTTAAGTTTGCTTGTTTATTTATTTTAGGAGAGAGAGAGAGTGCACTTGTGTGTGCATGCAGACACATGAGGGAGGGGCAGAGAGAGAGAATCCAAAGCAGGCTCCATACTATGAGCACAAAGCACTACAAGGTGTTGAACTCGGGAACCATGAGATCATGACCTGAGTCTAAACCAAAAGTAGGATGCTCAACCTACTGAGCCACCCAGGTGCCCTTATTTTTCATTTTTTGAGAAGCCTTCATATTATTTTCCATAGTGACTGCACAAATTGGCATTCCCAACAACAGTGCATGAGGGTTTCTTTTTCTGCACATACTCAACAACACTTGTTTTTCTTGTCTTTTTTATTTTAGCCATCCTGACATGTATAAAGTGATATCTGATAATCTGATTTCAGTTTTTACTTGTATTTTCTTGATGATTAGAGATGCTAAGCATCTTTTTATTAGTCTGTTGGCCATCTGTATCTCTTCTTTGGAAAAATATCTGTTCAGACCCCCTGCTCATTTTTGAATTAGATTATTTGTGGGGTGGGTTTTTTTTTGTTTTTTGTTTTTTGGTTTTGAGTTGTGTAAGTTCTTTATGTATTTTGGGTATTAACTCCTTATTGGGTATATCATTTGCAAATATCTTCTCCTATCCAATAGTTTGCCTTATTGTTTTGTTGATGGTTTCCTTTTCTGTGCAAAAGATTTTTAGTGACATGAATTTGAAAAGATATATGCACCCCTATGTTTATTGTAGCATTACTTACAAAACCCAGGATTTGGAAGCAAACCAAGTGTCCATTGATAGATGAATAGATAATGAAAATGTGATATATGTGTTTATACAATGGATATTACTCAGTCATAAAGAAGAACGGAATCTTACTGTTTGTAACAACATGGATGGACCAGGTAGGTATAACGTTAATTGAAATATGCCAACCTGAAAAAGACAAATGCCATAGTCTTCACTCTAATGTGGATTTAAGAAATTAAAAACTTTGTTTTTAAAAAGATAAAAAGAGACACAAACAAACAAATAGAAAACCATCCCAGACTCCTAAATACAGAGCACAAATGGGTGGCTGCCAAAGAGAAGATGGATACAGAGTGAGTGATTTAAATAAAGGGAATTAAGAGTATAGTTATTTTGATGAGCACTGAGAAATATGTGTAATAGTTGAATCATTATATTGTAAACCTGAGAGTAGCATAACAACACTGTATATTAATTATACTTCAGTAAAAGAAACTAGAAAAAGACAAAAAAAATGAAATATGGTCCCTGCCCTTAAGAAGCTTATATTTTAATGCAAGAGGAAAATTGTAGCTGTATCATAAAGTAGAAAGTGTTGTCATAAGTAATAAACAAAGTGTCCTAGGAATTCAGAGTGGAAGATGATTATTTGTGGCTGGCACAGTGGTGATGGTTGATTAGTGAAATCAGAGAAGACTTTGTAGAAGAATGGCATTTGAATTGGCTCTCTTCAGGGACAGGATTTTACCGCATATGGACATCGAGGAGAGATTGTAGGATGAGAGAATGACACTATGAAAGGGACAGAAAAGTGAAGCAGTGTTTAGGGCACACGGAGCAGGATATATAGCTTGAGCTTGGGCTGTAAGGGTGGGGGAGAGGGGAGACAACAGAACATGAGCAGGTGAATTGGAGCCAGAGATTTCCTCTGAGCACAAAACACGTTGGCTTTGAAACCACTACCCATGCTGAAAGTCCCTAAGGTTGGCTTTTTTACTTGGTGACCCTGGAATTCTTGGATTTAAAGTTTCTCTACCATTGTCTTCTTTGGTCCATCTGCTCAGAAAGTGCATAGATGAGAGCCAAGTGTTCTAGGTCATGGTCTTATTGCCACCATTAACTAGCAATGTGACCTTGACTAGGCCACTCAGTTCCTTCAATGCTCTGTTTATTTTTCTGTAACATTAGAGGTAAGAACCAATCATTTATAAAGTTATGCTTACTTAAGAAATTCTGGGATTTTTCAATCTTTAATTTTTTGAGAAACCTCCACACTGTTTTCCAAGTTGCTGCACCAGTTTGCATTCCCACCAACAATGCAAGAGAGTTTCCCTTTCTCCACATTTTTGCCAACATCTGTTGTTTCCTGAGTTGTTAATTTTAGCCACTCTGTTGTGAGGTGGTATCTCAATGTAGTTTAGATTTTTATTTCCCTGATGATGAGCAATATGAGCATCTTTTTCATGTGCCTGTTGGCCATTTGGATATCTTCTTTGGAAAAATATCTATTCATGTGTCCTTCCGTTTCTTCACTGGATTATATGTCTTTTAGGTGTTGAGTTTACTAAGTTTTTTTAATAGATTTTGGATACTAACCTTTGATCTGATATGTCAGTTGTGAATATCTTCTTCCATTCCATTTGTTGCCTTTTAGTTTTGTTGATTTTTTACTTTGTTGTGCAGATTTTATCTTTATGAGGTCACAATACTTCATTTCTCCCTTTATTACCTTGCCTTTGGAGACGTGTCAAGTAAGAAGTTGCTGTGGCTGAGGTCAAAGAAGTTGTTGCCTATTTTGTCTTCTAGGATTTTTATGGTTTCCTGTCTCACATTTAGGTCTTTCATCCATTTGAATTTATTTTTAGTATAGTATAAGAAAATGGTCCAGTTTCATTCTTCTGGGTGTTGCTTTCCAGTTCTCTCTGCACCATTTGTTGAAGAGACTGTCTTTTTTTTTCCTATTAGATCCTCTTTCCCGTTTTGTCAAAGATGAGTTGGCCATACATTTCTGGATCCATTTGTGGGTTCTCTATTCTATTCCATTGACCTATGTATTTATTTTCATGCCAAGACCACACTGTCTTGATCGTTGTTTCTTTGTAATACAGGCTAAAGTCTGGATTGTGATGCCTCCAGCCCTGGTTTTCTTTTTCAACATTACTTTGGCTATTCAGGGTCTTTTGTGGTTTCATACAAATTTTAGGACTGTTTGTTCAAGCTCTGTGAACAATGCTGGTGCTAGTATGATTGGGATTGCATTGAATGTGTAGATTACTTTGTGTAGTATTGACATTTTAACAATATTTGTTCTTCCAAGCCATGAGCGTGGAATGTTTTTCCATTTCTTTGTGCTTTTATCAATTTATTCCATAAGATTTCTATAGTTTTCAGTGTACAGTTCTTTTTACCTCTTTTGTTAGGTTTATTACTAAGTATTTTATGGTTCTTAGTGCATTTGTAAATGGGATCAATTCCTTGATATCTCTTTCTGTTGCTTCATTATTGGTGTATAGAAATGCAACCGATTTCTTTACATTGATTTTATGTCCTGTGACTTTGCTGAATTAATGTGTCATTTCAAGCAATTTTTTGTGGAGTCTTTTGGGTTCTCCAAGAATATCATGTCATTTGCGAAAAGTGAAAGTTTGACTTCTTTCCCAATGTGGATGCCTTTTATTTTACTTTGTGTGTAAGTCATGAATCATGGGAATCTGCTCCCAAAGCCAAGAAAACGCCATATACACTGTATGTTAGCTAACTTAACATTAAATTATAAAAAAATAAAAACATTACACACACTTGAACAGCCAGATCTGGCCCTTTTGACAGTCTTTAGTGTAATGAAAACTATGTTCCTAAGAAAGCATAACCAAGTACAGTAAAAGTTGGACAAATTAAATTGAAATTACAGGTATTGGAGCTGAAGAGAGTTTTCATATTTTCAAAAATTAATGTGTTTCTGTGATGTATTTACATTTAAATAAAATATATTTTATTTTAAAAAAGAAATTCTAGGGTTTCCTCTGGTTCTTTTGTCCTATTATTCTCTTAACTAGGTCTCTCTACTGCATGTGATCTGAACCTGCATCCCACCCACTTTTGGCTACAACCTATTGTTGGAGCTGTAGAGATCCAGTAAATAACATCCCATTTCCCCCTCCTGTGTTTGGAACCAATGGATAATCAGGACATAGAGATGGATGACTAAATCTTCAGATGTAGATCTGCAGCCTAATTGGCCTACTATTCCTGCATCACTAAATTAGACATCACAAATACTGCTGAGAACCTCCTCACTCCCACCAAAGGAGAGAGTCTGCTTTTACTAGATTTTCTCACGTATGAGCAGATTGGAATGCATGTGTCTTATAGGCAGTTTGGTTCTGGATACAAAAAGAAAATCAACAAAAAAGCTGAAAGAGGTTGAGTGGGGCTTACTCATTGCTGTCTCTTCAACTCACTAATCAAAGTGAAGGGAGTTGTGGATAGAGGCCAGCAGTTGTACACTGCTCCATGTTGCTCAAACTTCAGCAGGTGCCACCTCACCTCAATAACATGTGAAAAGATATTGTTGGGCCAGGCCTCCAACTTTTGGGATTCAG